TATAAATGCCCCTGTGCATTCCAGTAAGTCCAAAGTTTTCAGCGGGGTGATACAGGTACAGTTAAGTTTTTAACTGCTCATCTAGCCAAGGCATGTGATTCGGTTTGAGGGCCTAAGAATGAGGTCCTTTTGGGCCGGAGCGATAGCCCAGCGGGTAGGGCATTTGACTTGCACGCGGCCAACCTGGGTTCGATCCCCGGCATCCCATATGGTCCCCCAAGCACTGCCAGGAGTATTTCCTGAGTGCAGAGCCAGGAATAACCCCTGAGCATCGCTTGGTGTGACCCAAAAAGCAAAAAATAAATAAATAAGAATGAGGTCCTTTTGTTCAAGAGACCACTATTGTGACCTGGTGATATTCAAGGGTCTCCAGGGCTATACCCAGTGATGCTTAAAAGAGGGCCAGTTGGTGCCGGGGGTCAAATCCAGGCCTGCTGTGTACCACGGACCCTGAGCTTTGTCTTTATCATTTGCCACATAAATGTCTTTAGTTTGTTACAGTTTTGGGAACCATACCTGGTGGCACTCAGGACTTACTCCTGGCTCTTTGCTCAGGGGTCACGTCTGGCGGGACACCAGAGACCATATGTGGTGCAGGGGATCGAGCCCAGGTTGGCCGTATGCAAGGCAAATGTCTTATCTGCTGTCCCATAGCTCCATCAAAAGTTTTCAGTTTTGGTGTAGTCCATCGTCTATTTCCGTTTGTCACTTAGGGTTTGGGTGTTTATAATTAAGATCCTAATTGCCATGTCTAAAGTCATGAAGATTTATTTCTGTGCTTTTTCTCAGGAACTTAATTATTTTCTTTGGGACCACAACTAGTTGTATAGGGAGGCGACTCTTGACTTACTTTTTGGGGGTCACCCCTTGCAATGCTGAGGGGAACCTACCATGCTGGGGATCAGACTGGGCCTCCTGTGTACAAAACATGTATTCAGTCTGCGGGGCAGCCCTCTGGCCCTCTGCTTCATAGTTACGGAGTTCACTCTTACTTTTAGGTCCATGAGCCGCTTGAGCTCCCTCCTGTGTCTCTTGTAAAAGGCCCAGCGTCTGTTTTCCCCAGCCCACTCACTGAGGTCTGTTCATTTTTAAGTATTTTCTTCTTCTTTTTTTTTTTTAAATTTTTATGCTTGGGTTTCAGTTATACGAAGTCAGTTCTGCCAGCCTCTTCCTTGGCCCCCTTAACATTTCTCTGTATTTACAGTTCCCTTATATTTTTGTGTATACCTCAGTAATATTTACATGTGGCATATACATTGTGGCTACTTTTCGTATTAAACTCTGGAACATTTCTAGCCCACGACAACAGTGGTTTCCAATCCCTGGTCTGTGGACAGGTACCAGGCTGTCCTGCCAGAAAATTCCTGCCACTTTGTGAACAAGTGCTTTCCACTTTCTCTATGGCAAACCAGGGACACGATTTTCACTTTGAAATGTTAAACTTTAAAATGAATCCACAAAGTGACATTATAAATAATGATTTTTTTTCCTGCCTTGTTAGTCTGCAAAATATTTCTCCCCTTTTCACTGGTTCTGCAGAAAAAGGTTGAAAGCTACTGGCCCCCTGCTTTGGTTGTAACTGCCAGACTTTGGACTATGTGCCAGACAGCTGTCGGCCCACAGGTGTGACAAGATCAAAGAATGCTGCTCTCGAAGATTCCCTCTCCCCCACAGAAACCACACTCTTACTGATCACTTTTCCCGGGATGGCAGCATAGTGTACTATTTATGCCTGACATCTTCCACTGAATAAGATGACCGAGATCCACCTGTAAATACAGCAGGAGGCTGCATTTGTTTGCGAATTTTCTTTTTGTGCAGTAGTATCCCCTAGTAAGACTTGCCACAATGTGTTTTCCATTTTTTGCTTAATAGGCAATTGGATTATTTCCAGGGTTAGGTTCACTGTCACTGTCCTCCCATTGTTCATCGATTTGCTTGAGTGGGCCCAGTAACGTCTCCATTGTGACAATTGTTACTGTGTTTGGCATATCGAATACGTCATGGGAGGCTTTCCAGGCTTTGCCGTGCGGGCAAGATACTCTCGGTAGCTTGCCAGGCTCTCCAAGAGGGGCAGAGGAATCGAACTCAGGTCAGCCATGTTGGCAGAGTGCAAGGCAAATGCCCTACCCGCTGTGCTATCCCTTCAGCCCAGGGTTAGGTTATTATGAAGAAAACTTCGGAGGTGAATTTTGGTGGTTGTTTTGTGGCCACAGCCAGGTGTATGATCAGTGACTGGGCATTGGGTCCCAGCCTCCTGCAGGCCAAGCATGCAACTCCAACCCTTTCAACCCTCTCCCCATCTCGGCTTTTGTGTTTTGTCATGGTGGCCACCACGTGGGGCTGGGGCTAATGGTACCTGAAGTCCCCGTGCATCACTGCTCACCCTGGCTCTGCAGGCCTGATGCTCTGGCACCCAGAGGCGTGGTACTTGAGCTGATGGGACTTAGGCCTGGAGGTGTGTGAGTCCGCCAGAACTCCCCCTGACTGTGCATGGGAGAGCACACAAGTTGGCCATGGAACCTGGGCCTTGAACATGCCAGCACTATGCTCCACCACCAAACCCTACCCTGGCCAAGTCTAAAACCCTGAGAGCCACTGGTCTTACTTCTTTACCAAAAGAAGATGGGCTGGAGAGATAGTGCAGCAGGTAGGGCACTAGCCTTGCATGCGATTGACCTGAGTTTAACCCCCAGCACCACATATGGTCTCTGGAGCGGAGCCCACCAAGAGTGATCCCTGAGCACAGAGCCAGGAGTAATATCTGAGCAGCACTGGGTGGGGCCCAAAAACCAATAATAAAAATAATACTACAGAGAAGAAAAGGACTAGAGCCATAGTACAGTAGGGAGGACGTTTGCCTTGCACATGATTGACCTGGGTTCAATCCCTGGCATCCCATACGGCCCCCCCAGCCCCCAACCCCAGTACTACCAGGAGTGATTCCTGAGTGCAGAGCCAGGAGTAACTCCTGAGCATCACCGGGTAGGACCCAAAACAGAAAGAAAAGAGAAAGAGTAAAGGAGCCAGCCCAGACAGCTGGAGGCACTGGGATGGTGGAAGCTCAGGAGAGACCCTGTTGGGAAAGGTCCTGGAGCCACTCCCCTCCCCCCCCCACCATCCCTACCCCTTTTCCTTGGGGAGTTCTGCAAGTGACTCTGGCAGCTTTGTTCAAAGGCTGTGCTGTGATTGCGCCCCAGTGGCTGCCCAGATTGACATGCTGTCCCTGTCACCAGCGAGGAAGCACCTGTGGGTCTGAGGGTGGAAGCCCGGGAGTTTTAGTGCTGAGGCTCCCCAGCGCCTGACTCAGGTCTGCACCTCTGCTCAGCTGCAGCAAGAGGTGGCAGTCCTGATAGGCATGTGGGAAACAGCAGCAGCAGGGGGAGGTGTGTAGTGCTCGGCCCAGCCATTACGTGACTCATTTCCTCCCTGGTCAGCCACTGCAGGCACTCAGCCAGCTTCCTGGCCTCTGCCCTCCCATGCTAGGCACCAGAAGGCAGGAAGGGCTTGGAAAAGTGAGAAAAGAAACCAGAAAGGAGCTGGAATCCATTCTACCGAGCTCAGGTACCCCAGCCAGTGAGTCACTGTCGACAGGAGAGACAGTCATGGCAGGGAAGGGGCTGGGTCTGGCCATCCACAGCTCACATCGCATATTCAGGGCCCAAATGCCTGCCACATCTTGAACAAACAATTCTGGGCTCACCAGAGGCCCCCATGCCAAAGATCAGAGGCGGACCCCTTCCTCAGAACACACGCACAAGAGAGCTCAGAGTGTGAAGCAGCATGAAAAAACTCTGGACAGATCTGGAGCAGTAGTATAGTGGGCAAGGCACTTGCCTTGTGTTCAATCCCCAACACCACACATGATCCCCTGCATCCCACCAGAAGTGATCCCTGGCCTCAGAGCCAGGAGTAAGCCCTGAACATCACTGACTGTAGCCCCAGACCACAATAAATTAAGCTTTGAAAGTTCATAAAGAGCAGAGGCGTTTAGCAGTTGCTTAGGACAGTAGCATAGAGACCAAAAACAGTCTAGTTAACGTGGACATTCTCAAAACGAAAACTTTGTCAGTTCCTGAGTTGCCATCATGAAAGTAAAAACACAGCCCAAGACCTACAAAGTTGAGCCAGAGCTGTAGCATAGCGGGTCAGTGTTGCCTTGCAGCACCCAACGAGGTTTGATCCTCAGCACCCCACATCTTTGAGTAACTCCTGAGCAGATCCGGAGTGGCAGGGGGAAAAAGGAAAAATTCTGTACAAGCTCAGTACAGACACAACCATCACCATCACGGTGTCCTAGTGACATAGTGTTTCCCACTGGTCGGTGGTGGGCCTGGGGACACAAGGTCAGCTGGAACCACAGGAGTCCAAGCAGGTGTGGAGAAACAGCCCCTATGCACAGCTGGCAGGGATGTGAAAGGGTACAGAGTTCCTCAGAAAGATACACACAGTTACTGGATTCCACACCTCTTTTTCTTGTTTGTATTTTTTTGTTTCAGAGCCACACTCCAAAACACTGAGTGTTTTGAAGCACTCAGCAGTACACAGAGCTGACTCCTGGCTCTGCTCAGGCATCACTCCTGATGGGGCTTAGGGAACCATATGGGAAGATGGGGATCAAACCCAGGTCAGCCGCGCTTGTATCCACTTCTGGCTATGGACCCAAGATAGTACAAAACAGCTGCCTGCTGAGCACCTGCTTCTTTGCCTGTTAGTGTTGTCACCGACGAGATGAAGAGAAAGCCACCACCACAGAGCACATGATAAGGTGCCGCACATTTGGCCTAGGGAGCAGGACAGGGCAGAGTTGCCAGCGTGCCTAAGCAGGATCCCAGTGGGATGGCTTCAGAGGGATGAGGACATTCTGGCTCTGCGGGCAGGTACGGAGCTTTGCTCTGAGCCAACCCTACAAGTGCTGACCAAGAGCACTTTCCCCCGCAGCCTGCCAGGGATTCCGACTTACTGCTGACCCAGACTTGTCTCACCTTCTCTCCCACCAGAAAAGCAAGAGCTGGATCTCGGAAGATGACTTCTACCGGCCTCCCCTGGAGCAGCCTGCAGAGAGTCCCCCCGACCACCCCACACCTGCCTCCCAAGGGACCCTTGAGGCAGATCCTGGCCTCCCCCAGCCCATCTCACAAGAACCCGGGAATCGTTCCTTGCAGGGGACCCTGGATGGCATCTGCATGTCCGCTCCAGGCAACCGGGAGAGCAAGGCTGTGGCTCCGGAGCATAGGAACTTCCGCGTGGTGCACCGCCGACAGATGGGTAGGTGCCTCTGCGAGGGGTGGCAGCCCCTGGTGCAGGGACCAGCTTCTCAGAAAGTGGCTCAGGGGGCCTGTTTTCCCCTCCCAGTTAGCGGGTGTCTGCTCCACTGGGAACCTCATCCGAGAATGCAGTCAGAAGGAACACTTCTGGGCTATCTTTCCTTACAATGCCTGCAGAAAACAAATGCCCAGACTGCTTCATCTGTAGACACAGAAAATAGTTTCCCTGAAACTACCATATAGATCTTCAGATCACAACATACTCTCCACATCCGGGTACAAACCAGAGCAGGCTCCGAGTACAGGCAGCTTAGCTGATGCCTCTGCGGGATTTATACCTGTTTGTTTCCATCTGAGTCCTGTCCACACCCTATGAAATCCCAGAAAATGATACTTTTTTTTTCTTTTGCCCTCATTTGGAACGGTGCCCTAGTTCCAGTCCCATGCTGGGATTCAGTGCCTGCACACTTGTCTCACAGGTGTCAGACCCTAAGTTCCACCGGAAGCACCAGCCAAAATAAGGAGAAGACCACCTAAAGGCAGCCCCCAGCTCAGCTCCTTTTCTGTTGGCAGTGGTGGGCAGAGAATGCTGGCCGGGTGCCCTGTCTTGTGGGGTTTGGGGTGAGGGGTGGGGCTGGTGTTCAGCTGGTTTCTCGGGTTTTACTGAGCCAATGGGATGGTGGTGAGATGCCCCAGGTTTACCTCAGTCTGAAGGTACACAGAGGCGCCAAATCCTGGTGTGATGCAGGCTGGGAGGGGAGCACTATGTGTCCTTTGGGGGTTTGATGGCAGCATTAGCTGAGTGTGGTGCCTGGGAATGCCCGGGGTCACTCACTGGGTGGTATGCGTGTGATGTCCAGGTACTTTCTGGGTGCTGAGCATGTCACAGGAAGCAGAGCAGGTGTCTCTGTGCTCATGAGACTCGTGGCCCAGGGCACAGGAGCTCCCATAAACAGTGTACTCAGAGCAGGGAGAGGGGAAGCTGGAGTGAGAAGTGCCACTTGGCAACAGAAAGGGAGCCGGCCACCCCTGCCAGATTTGGACAAGGGACGGGATCCAACAGGCTTTGAAACAAGTCATCCTGGCCCTGGAAACCCAAGAGGTAGGAAAGGCCAGTTTGGAGGAGGCAGTGGCAGAACCCAGGCCAGGACTGAACCCGGGGGAATGGTGGAGCCCGTCGATGTAGAAGGTTCTTGGAATGCCAGTAAAATGTCTGAAGTGTGAGGTATGGTGTGCGAAGGAAAGTCAAGTGACTTTCAGGTTATTAGCACAAACACTTGGAATATTGAAGTGGCCGTTTCATAAACAAGGAGCTCTGGGAGAGGGAAGGATCAGAGAGTGATTTTTTTCTCTCTCTTTTAGATTTGGGCCACACTTGGCTCAGGAGCTGCTCCCAGCTCAGTGCTCAGGGGTCACTCCTGCTAGTGTTCAGGGGACCATATGTGGTACCAGGGATCAAACCTGCGCCTCCTCCATAGTATAGTGGGGAGGGCATTTGCCTTGCACACGGCCAACCTGGGTTCAATCCCTGGCATCCCATATGGTCCCCCAAGCACTGCGAAGATTAATTCCTATGTACAGTGCCAGGAATAGCCCCTGAGCATCACTGGGTGGTGACCCAAAAAGAAAAAGTTCCAACCTAACATTTATTTTTGGAAAAAAAAAACAAAAAACCTGCCTTTTGAGCCATCTCTCCGCACCCAGAATTCATTCATTCATTCTAACCCTGAGAGGACGTACATGGAGCAGAAAGAGCAGCAAATTCAAGTCCCAGGGCGAGGACCAGGCTAGGGATACATAGAGATTTGGTGGTTGTTGTCATAAAGCTCTGAAGGCTCAGGTGGGACAGGTATGCTGGAGCAGGGAAAGGACGAGAACCTAGTTCTGGGCACCCTGACACTCAGAATCAGCCAGTGCAAAGGAGGCTGTCCAGGAGATATGCTGGCCAGGCATGTGGAGGACACCTAGGGTGACCAGTACAGCCAGGCCAGGGAAAGGTTTCAGTGATGTCCAAGGATCAGCCTTCAGACTGAGCCACAGAGAGCAGGTGGCCTTCCTAAGTACAGTGATTCAAGGGCACAACGCCCAAGTGGAGCAGGTTTGAAATGGGAGGGTGCCAGAGCGGAAGGGTCTTCTCTCCCTTTCAAAATTTTTCTTCCCCGTCCTCCTTCCTTTACTCTAGGGTCAAGGATGATCTAGGTACCCCCGCTAGTTACCTTCCATTCTCTCAACCTGTCATTCTGTGTTTCACAGATAAGTGAGATCATCCTGTGTTTTTCTTTAGCCTTAACTCACTTAACATGTGATCCTCCAGTTCCATCCTAGTTGCAATGAATTACATGATTATATGACTTCATCTTCCTTGCAGCATAGTCGTCTGTGTTTCCTTGCACCTGCATAGTGTTGTGTTGTGTATATATGTCTTCTGTTGTGTATATATGTCACATCTTCATAATCCACTCATCTGTCATTGGGCACTGTGCTTGATTCTGTAGCCTAGCTATTGTGCCAAGTGCTGCAGTGAATAATGGTGTACAGATGTCCTTTGGATGAGTGTTTTTGTGACCTGGGGTTGAGACCAGAAGTAGGATTACTGACTTGGATGGCAGCCCAGTTCCTTGGTTTTGGTTTTGGTTTTGGTTTTTGGGTCACACCTGGTGGTGCTCAGGCAATGCTGGGGATCAAACCCGAGTCAGCTGCGTGCAAACAAATGCCCTACCTGCTGTGCTGTCACTCCAGCCCCAATATTTAATGTACTTTTAAATTAAATTATATTCCTAATTAAATACTGTTTGATATTTATTTACTTGATTTTTCTTTTTTAATATAAGGGATTAACTTTAAAGATACAAAGAGTATTCCACTGATAAATGTCAGCATAAGTGGATTTTGAATTCTTCAGATAGGAAAATAGCAGAGGATTAGAGAGCCAGAGAGATAGTGCAGGTGTTAAAGGACTTGCCTTGCACTGGCAGACCCTGGTTTGATCCCCAGCACTGTAGATGCCCTCCTGAACACCACTAGGAGTGAACTCTGAGCAGAACTAGAGATGAGCTCTGAGCACTGCTAGGTGTACCCTCCCATATGTCCCGACCGCCTCCAAATAGTAGAGGCCAGGGAGATCATTCAAAGGGCTGGAGTGCTTGTTGGTGCACTGGTGGGTGTGATCCCCAACTGATGAACCAGGAGTAGTTCTCCTAGCATTGCCAAGTATAGGCCCCCCCAGCCCCCACCCCCCCAAAAAAGAATGATAAAATAGAAACAATAAGCAAGGTTTTTTTTATGGTAGAAAACTTTTTAAATTTTTTTTTTAAAGAAGGGTTGGCTGCCTGCAGGAGGGCCTTAATTCCTCTGCTGTCTTCCTGCCTTGAAAATGTTTCTTTTGCTAGAATATTCTTCCTTCAGGACCATTACATAAAGTATATTATAGGTATCATTGTTGGTAACAAAACAACTTACAGAGACCAGTTTAAAATAAAATGAGTAATAGGAAATTGAACTCTTATAAGTAATTGTGTAGTAAATGGAGTTGTATTTAAGAAGAAAGAAATAGAATAAAGATTTGTTTTTGCCGAAAAGTTGGTAACGAATAGAAGTCTTTTTTCTTGTTGTTGTAAACTCTGTTAGATCTGTGGAGGTACTCAATTTGTACGTTATGTGATTCCCTCTTTGTTCTTTAAAATTTTTTCATTACAATTAATATTTTACTTTTTAAGTGAAGCTAGAAAGTTTTATTGAAACTAGTGTAGAAAGGGGAGAGAAAGGGAGAAGTACATGCTTGAGAGAGAACACAGGCTTCTCGAGTGGGCAAAGAAACATACAGACAAGCAAACATGATGCTTGTTTAAGAAGAACACTGGTTTGAACAATAAGCCTATATTTTAATTTTATTTCTTTGTATTTGGGGGTCACACCTGGTTATGCTGAGGACTTATTCCTGACTCTTTGTTCAGGGATCACTTTTGATGGTGCTTGGGGGAACCATATGTTGGGGCTGGGATTGAACCAAAATGGTCTGGGGTACAGACAGTCACCTTACCCCCATCCCCTTGTACTATCTGTGGCCCATCCCCTTGTTACTTATTTATTTACTTAATTACTTATTTTAGAATTAGACCACACCTAGCCATGCTATGGGCTTACTCCTGGCACTGTGTTCAGGGATCAATCTTGGTGATGTTCAGGGGAACTCTATGTGGTGTCAGGGATCTTTCTTGGGGTGTCTGTATGAAAGAATTGCCTTCTCCTCTCTACTACCTGTCTGGCCACCCTTTTAATATTTTTTATAGCAAAAATCGGATAATCAGGAAGATCCTATAAGGTATAGATTGTAAAGGATTATTTCACTTATGTTTTTATTTTGTGGTTGCTTTGTTGTCTGATAGAATGCAGTATTCAATAGAAAGGTGCTCAGTATCATGAGCTGTTACCAATTTCAAGGAGCTTTAGATTTTGTTGCTCTTTTGTATGTGTATAGAGGGATGGGACTTGGAAAATTGAACCTATAACCTTACACCTTCAAGACAAATGCTCTACTGCTGAGCTGTGGGTTTTTATTTTTTTTGGTGAAGTCGGGGGACATATTCAGCTCTGCTCAGGGCTTTTTCCTGACTCTGCACCCAGATATCTGTCCTGGCGGGCTCAGGGGAACACATATGGGGTATTGAACCTGGGCTGGTGGCCCTGTCAACTTTTATGTTTTCAAAATAAAAAATATATATATTATATATTAGAGAATGTCCTGCCCGCACAGTAGAGCATGGCAAGCTCCCCATGGTGTATTCGATATGCCAAAAACAATAACAATAATGGGTCTCATTCCCCTGACCCTGAAAGAGCCTCCAATATGGCAGCGTTGGGAAGGATGAATAAGGAGAAGCTGCTAAAATCCCAGGACTGGGATGAATAGAGACATTACTGGTGCCTGCTTGAGCAAATTGATGAACAACAGGATGACAGTGATACAGGGTCTTTGAATTTTTTTTTGTTGAACTTTGTATCTTGGATATCAATTCTTTATCTGATGTGTTGAGTACAAATATCTTCTCCCATTCAGTTGGGTGTCTTATTTTTTAGCCCATGTTTCTTCTTCCATACAGAAACTCTTTAATTTAATGCAGTTTCATTTGTTTATTTTTGATTCTGCTGTCTTTGCCATTGAAAGCACATTTGAGATCTATATCTAGGAGTGTTCTGTCTACATTTTCCTCAGTGTACTTTATGGTCTCCAGTCTGATTTCAAGCTCATTGATCCACCTTGCATTGACTTTTGGTGTGTTTCCAGTGTCATCTTTTTTTTTTTCCACGTGGCTATCCAGTTTTCCCAACACCATTTGTTGAAGAGGCTGTCTTTATTCCCCTCCATGTACCCAGCTCCTCTGTTGAACACTAATCAACCTTAGATCTGGGGGTTTGTCTTGGAGCCTCAATTCTGACCCATTGGTCACAGAGGCCATCCTTATCCCAGGGCCATCCCAAGCTGATCCCTAGAACTTCATACTCCAGTTTCAGGTTCGGTCATGAGATCCCTCCAAGTTTCTTATTTTTCAGAATGACTTTGGCTCTTTGGGGTGTTCTGTGATTCTAGCTCTGGGATATCTGCCATGGAGCCAGGCCGTTACTCCTCCCCTGTCCCCACTCTACCCCTCCCCCTCACCTCACCCCCATCTAAACTAACTCTCTCTCTCTCTCTCTCTCTCTCTGTCCCCAGGACTGTCCAACCCATTCCGGGGTCTCATGAAGCTGGGTGCAGTGGAGCGGCGGGGCCCAGTGGGCATGTGGAAAGAACTCTTCTGCGAGCTATCACCGCTAGAGCTCCGCCTGTTTGCCAACCACGAGGAGCGCATGTGCATGGAGAGCTTTTCCCTGCTGCGCTGCGAGGCCATGGGGCCAGCCCTCAGCGATGGCCGCTTTGAGCTGGTCTTCTCGGGCAAGAAGCTGACGCTGCGGGCCTCCTCCCAAGATGAAGCCGAGGACTGGCTGGACCGGGTGCGGGAGGCGCTGCAGAAGTGCCGGCCCCAGCAGGAGGACGACTGGGTGACCATCCAGTCCTCCGACCTGCCTGATGACGCCCCAGAGGCACCCCTGGCTGGTACCCCCTCTCACTCAGACCTGCCCCTGGAGCCCGAGGGGCCGCAGCTGGATTGGTCCTCCACACACCTCCCCGAGCCCGACGCCATCCAGGAGTCCCTTCTCTACCTGTACACGGACAAGGCCTGGACACCCTACGTCTTCTCCCTGTCTTTGGAGTCCCTCAAGTGCTTCCGCCTGCGGAACAACGAGAAGCTGCTGAGCGACAGCCACGGCGTGGAGACGATCCGTGACATCTTGCCGGACACCAGCCTCGGCGGCCCAACCTTCTTCAAGATCATCACAGCCAAGGCCATCCTGAAGCTGCAGGCCGGCACTGCTGAGGAGGCCGCCCTGTGGCGGGCCCTGGTGCGCAAGGTCCTGGCATCCTACCTGGAGACGGCAGAGGAAGCGGTGACCCTGGGCGGCAGTCTGGACGGGAGTTGTCAGGAGGTGCTCAGGGTAGCCACACGGGAGAACGGTTTCCTGCTGCAGTACCTGGTGGCCATCCCCACGGAGAAGGGCCTCGACGCCCAGGGCTGCTTCTGCGCAGGTGCCAGCTGGGGCCCCACCACCCACCCCACCCTGGTGCCAACAGCGCCCCCGAGTCTCTCCCTGCACCCCAGCTGTGGGACCCGCGGGTGGTAGCTCCCACACTCTCCATTACTATCCCGTTCCTTTGGATCTGTACCCTCCCAAACACTTTATTTGTTTAGGGGGCCACACCCAACAGTGCTCAGGGCTTACTCCTGGCCCTGTGCTCGGGGATCACTCCTAGCAGGCTCAGGGAACCTTTGAGGTGTCAGGGATTAAACCCAGGTGAGCTGCATTCAAGGCAAGCTTCCTGCCCATTGTACACTCTCTCCAACTCCACTTCCAAACTTATTACTATTGTGATAAACTTGGTTTACAGTGTCAATGTTCGTATGTGTAGGGGGTACAGAGTGACCACACCATGCCTGTTGCCCCCTTCCAAATAGTTTGCATATCTCTACAACTGTACACAGTGTTTTAAAAGTATTAAAATGGGCCCGTACTCTCAGTAGATTTCTCTGTAACTGTGAAGACAGTCCAGGGTCGTGCCTGCTGGTCTAGGCCACTCTGCAGATGGGGTCACTAGAATTTTGAGAGTGTGGGCAGTGGGGGCAAGCAGGGTGCTTGCCTCAAACGCAGCCAACCTAGATTCAAATCTTAGCACCCATACAGTTCTCTAAACTGAGAGCAAGGAGCAAGTTCTGAGCACTGCCAGGTATTGCCCAGACAACAACAACAAAAAAAACATTTTCAGGCAACTGAGGAACTGACTGGCTTCCCTCGAACTAGGCCAGCTGCCGGTTTAAGTGGGCATGTGGCTGGCGCCTGTGGACCTTCACAGCTGTGTTCGCTGCTCTGCCACTGGTGTTTTCCTGCTCTGTAATATAGCGTGGATGCTGTGCCAAGTGACATCTGCTCTGTCATCAGCACCACCAACTCCAGTTCTTTATGCCAGGCACCACACCAAGCACTTTATTTAGATCCTCACATTTAATCCCCTCAAGATTAAGTGAGATCTTTCCTTACAGACCCTAATGGGAGAGGGACTCTGACTACCTCAGTTTATGACTAAAGAAACCCTAGTAAGGGGCAGAGCCAGAAAGAGGCCTCAGTGGTCAGGCCACAAAACCTGTATCTTACTGGGCCCCCAGGCCTCTCTTCTCCTTATGTTGAGGGACCCCGTGATACCCCACTGTTCGTGTCCCTAATTCTGTTCTTTTCCTCAAACTAGATCCCATCTTTCATCCCCCTGGCCAACAAACTCACTGGGCAGCGTAATGCCAAGGCTCATGGCCTGGATGCATATTGAGCCATGTCCTGGCCACTGCCAGCAGGGTGGGGCCTACGTGTCTAGAAAGCAGCCCTGGTGGGCCTCTGGGAGGAAGTGGCTTGTGTTGTCCCGGGAACATGGGAGCGGTCTGCAAAAGACGGCTTCAGCCTGCCCAGCCCAGCAGCCAGGCCTTGCACGTCAGCCTGTCCTGCCCACCAGCGAGGAGTAAGCTGGTGGGCAGCACTTCCTGTGCTTGAGTTAGCCTGAGTAGTTGGAGAGAGAAGTGGGGGTAGGGGGAGGGAGAGGAGCGTCTTGCCTCTCTCTGCCCACAAACTCAGCTTGGTAGCAGGGCAGACTCCAGCCTGACAGCTGGTTTTTCGTAGTTTGCAGGGGCAGGGCACTTCAAAACTCTGTCCTCTGAACTTGGAATGACCCCACATAATAGCTGGTGGTGGCTGGAGATGGGGCCGGGAAGAAGCCTGTGAAGGCCAAGGCAAGGCAGCCAGGCCAGAGGGGCTCCCCTGGCCTCGACACTGCCCACCCAGGCAGAGAGACCAACTCTGGTCCCTGAACCCCAGTTCTCTGCTATTAGGCATCTGTGGCCACAAGCTGGCACAGCTGTGGCCAGCTTGCCCTGTCTCCTTCTGTTCCCCACCCACTCCCTGTGGTCTCACTCCCCACCCCTGCCACAGCCCCCCTACAGAGCCACATCCATCTGGTGGCTTCAGCAGAAAGGAGGGCCTGGAGGAAGCTGGTGAGCAGGCTGAGGGGTTGCGGGCTCGGGAACTAAGCCGGCTTAAGTTTAGTGGGTTTGGTTTGTGGCTTGGGGGCCACACCCAGCAGTGTTCAGGGATGACTCCTGGCTCAGTGCTCAGGGATCACGCCTGGCAAGGCTCAGAGGACCATATGGGGTGCCAGGGATCAAACCCAGGTTGGCCTCGTGCAAGGCAAGCACCCTCCCCACTGTTTTATGACTCCAGCCCCTTACTTTGTCTTGAGTTGTTTTCTTTTGTGCATTACCCAGTTTCTTTCTACAGTCATCTCTTCTGCGACCTTGGTGAATAGTGCTTGTGGCATTTTTCAGAACCTTGACTCGGAGTGGAGGAATGTGAAGGAGGCCAAGATGGCTCTTATCTTTGTTTTGGCTTTGTCTACTTCTCTGAAATAGCGGGCCCTTTGTGTCCTTTCCGCCAGTCCATTCCTTCTGCATGGACAGGCCACTCACCATCCCTCTGTCCTTCCCAGGCTGCTCCCGCCAGATCGGCTTCTCCTTCGTACGACCCAAGCTCTGTGCCTTCTCTGGCCTCTATTACTGTGACATCTGCCACCAAGATGATGCCTCAGTGATTCCGGCCAGGATCATCCACAACTGGGACCTCAGCAAGCGCCCAGTAAGTCCAAGTCCCAATCTATAGTGGCCGCTCAGGGCTGCAAACCAACAGTAGGGTGACCACTCCCCATGACTGCTGCCGGACTTACACTGGGAGGCGGTTGGCTTTCATGAAATCAGAGTCACTCGTTTCGGCCTCAGGCATCCCAAGAGAAAAAGCAAGGCCTGTCCACGGTGCCTGTGCAGAGCTGTCATTATCTGCTGGGGGCCTGAGTGGTAATCTGGAGATGGCTTTCTGGAGCAGCTCATGGTTATGGGTAAAATTGTTTAAGGAATTGACAACTACTCAGAGGAGAGAGAAGTGAGGAGTAAGAGGAGGAAATTGAAGATAGATTAGGTAGAGGGGTGGGGAGATGCAGAAATAAAGGATGAATAAACTGATGGGTTGGCGAGTGGGTGGGTGGGTGGGCGGATGGGGAGATGGATGGTGAGTGTTGACTAAATGGGCGGATGGGCGGGCCAGCTGGCAGCACTCCCCTTGAAGCGTCAGCTCTTTCTGTCGTTTATTTAGTACTCATCTGATTTTTGTGAAGTCGGATTATCCTGGGCTCGTGCATACTGCTCTAGGACATGATCTCATCATAGCGCGGGTCTCATGTTTGCGGGACGCTTTCGAGCAGATGCGCTCTGAGGTCTTTGATGTTCCTCTTCTCCCGCTGAGCTCAGCTGCTTCCTGGCTGTGTTACCACCAACAAATGACGTGTCTCTTCATCCTAAGGCGGGTTAACAGCTGTCTGGGGCAGTGTGAGGACCAGCTGAGGCAGGAGCCCCCTTCCCCTCTCAGAGCTACTGAGGAGTACCAGTTCACTTGGAGAGGGTCGGCCCTCTCCCAGGGGCTCAGGGACATGCAGAGAAGCTGTTTGTTTCTCTGAGACATAGGGGCTTCCAGCCCTGGGGTTGGGGTCCCCATCAGACTGCGCCACACCAAGCCTCCACCCTCTAGGGCCAGGAGCTGCAGAAAGGCGAGCCTCACTTTGGTGTTTGGTGGCTGACCCCCTCCCCTCCCCTGTCCTCAGTTCAGTCTCTCCATCAGAATCACGACAAGTGCAAATATCCCAGAAGCCACGCTCACGGCTCACTGCATCCCCCACCAATCGTGCACTTCCTTCGCTCTCCCGAGAAGCCGTGCCCAGAGGTTCAAAGGAGGAAGTGAGTGGCTGGCAGGCCCAGGCCTCATTGTTCACGGGCGTGAGGCCTGCACAGTCAGCCTAGTGCTTGCTGCCTATTGGCTTGTCCCCGCACACAGTGCGCACACACACACGCACACGCACACAGTGGGATGGCCCCTGCTCATCTGTGGCAGCGCTGCCAGGGGAGTGAGAACATTCCTGCAGTGGCCTCCCTGCGCTTCACCCAGCGCCTGAGGTCAAGACCTAGGAAGGGCCCCATCTCCAGGGCCCAGGGAGATGCTAGGAAAAGGAGGAAGTGGGGGAGGGGTCCCCATTGCCAGGGGAGCTGGGAGATTGTCTTGTGAGGGTCCTGCCATGTTCCGTGACCCTCTGGTGTCAGCAGGCATGCAGCCTGGTGCCAGCTGCTTGCTGTTGGCTGTACAGTCCTGTGCCAGGAGACCACATATAGGATTGTCTTGGCTTTAGGTAGGAATGGCAGAGCCAGTGGAGCCCAGGTCCCTGTTGGGAAGCAGCCCTGGGGGCACAGGCAGCAGTGCCCGTCAAGTGGCCTCCTGGGCCTCCTGGGCCTCTGGGGCTATCTTCCATCTGAGCTTACAGTGACCCTGCCAGCAGCTCTCGGTCCTTTCATGTCTGCCGTTCTCCAGAGGGACAGAGAGGTGAAGTGTCACACAACAGGACACAAGGAAGCGTTGGGACCAGGTTCAGGGGCATTTCCGGCTGGACACAAACCTCTCAGCTGCTCCCGCCACCATCACGCAGCCCAGGAGGGCAGCTGGTGCGGGATCAGCGCTTCCGTTAGGCCTGGCCAGCACCTACAGTGCTATTTTTCCCTTGGTTTGGGGTCCAGACCTGGTGGTGCTGTGGAGCTGCTCTTAGCACCATACTGGGAATCCCGCCCTGCCCCCACTACCTCCCCCCACCCCCCCACCCCCCGCCAAGCATGTGCTCAGGCCCTCAGAGCCCTCAGAGTCCTCAGAGCCCCGGGCCCTGGGCTCTTCTTTCTCCTCGGGAGTTGGATAAGCCGCTTTAGCTTCTCTGATCTGCAGTTTCCTCACAAAACGGGGAAGTGCCTTGTTCCCCACTGGACTATGGGGATCAAGATGAATGCGGTCAAGAACTTACTCCCAGTGTCTGCCAAGTGGTGGGTTCTTAGTGACTGTCCTTGGCCTGAGTGTCAGGGCTGCAGGTGAACCTCAACGCCCTCTTGGGTAACGGAGGCGAGAGCCTCGGTGGAGCCAGGGATGAGGGGGTAGCCGGGGTGGCTTCTCGTGAAGCTGGGTTCTGTGTCAGGAATGTGCTGCCCAGGGGCAGTTCTTTTTCCAGGGGAACCGGATATAGCCAGGAAGGTCTAAGACAGGGCCCTGCTGCCCAGAGCAGCCCCTCCCTCTCTGCCATGGCAGAAACATGAGTCTGGAGGTCTGGGACTGGGGTGCGGTTCCTCCCATCTTGACTTCTGTGAGTGGTGCCCCTGGGCTGTGTCACTTCGTGGCAGTCTCCTCAGGTATGAGTTGAAGATGATCCCATGGCGGCGGGGGGGGAGGGGGGAGGGCGGGATGCGGGCAGCTGTTGCTATGGTGAGGGCCCTGACCACAGGGGCTCCTGGAAAACTCATTCTTGCCCATCCCTGATGCCTGGTGGTGCCCCCAGATCTGCCGCCAGGCCCTGAGGTTCTTGACGAAGATCCGGGCCCAGCCCCTCATCAACCTGCAGCTGGTGAACGCGTCTTTGTATGAGCACGTGGAGCGGATGCAGCTCATCTCAAGGAGCCGGGAGCAGCTGAAGCTTCTGGGGGACTACCTAGGCCTGTGCCGGAGCGGAGCCCTGAGGGAGCTAAGCAAGAGGTGAGCCCAGACAGGGGCGGGAGCGAGGCATGCGCAAGCACACACACACATGCATACGCACAGTACTTACACACACACACACACTGCTTATATACATACGCACACATGGCTTGCACACGTACACATATGGCTTATATACACACATGCACACATGCACAAGCGTGTACACACATACACAGTACACGCATGCACACGGCACTTAGGCACACATATGGCTTCCATACATGTGCACACATGGCATGCACACACACGGCTTATACGCACGCGCATACACTGACATACATACACACATATGCATGCAGGTACACACTTGGTGTCCTTTCAGCGGAGCTCAGGAACTGGCCATGCCTTGGGTCTGTGCATGTATCTTCATCCTGTAATTTGACCAGATTTGTTGAGAACTGGTGCAACACTGGGCGAGATGTGTAGGGTGGGCAGGGACATCTGTGCCCACCAGGAGGGAAATAGTGTGTAAGTGTTCAGGCCCTGAGGAAGGTGCTGCGTGGGAGATCCCAGGATGAGGTTGGGTGAGGTCCAGGAAAGTGGGGTGCTGCATGCCCTGGCCCCTCCAGCAGCACCTTCCACCACCCGTGGGAAGGATGGGCTGATTCCATGCCCAGCCTGAGACCTCTTGGTCCTCACCCTGGGCCTCTGTGCTGGGTTGGAGGACAGGGGGCACCCTGGGGGGCTGTGCTCCTCTGGGGCCTTTGGGATAGGGGCTGGGGTCCTGGTGCTGGGTTTTTCACCACTCTGCAGGCACAGGGACCCTGCTGCCCTCCCAGAGCCTCTCAGTGAAGGGCACAGCCTGACTCCCGGGGTCCTTGCAGTGGCCAGCTAAGCCCCAGACTCTGCAAGTGCCTCTGCGCAGCTCCATCATCCGTGGGGGGGGGCCTGTCTCCATTCACACCGTCCTTCCCAGGGTGCCAGGCCCAAGGCTCCACATGGCCTCCTGACCCCTGACTTGAGTGCTGAAATCTCGGGGATCACTAGGTGGTCCCGGGTACTAGCCCCACTGACACAGCCCTGCCCTGCTGACCATTATGGGTGGCCCATACTGGCCCATGTGGACACTCAAGGCAGTCCTGCTGTTGGGGGGGGGAGGGGTGCATCTTGCTTCTCCGGCTCAGCTTGCCTGACTGTGCCATGGTCCAAGCCCTGTGCCGGTGGCCTCCCAGAGCTGTTCAGGGAGATGAGGAGCGGGGGCCACAGGCGTACAGGTGGCCTGAGCAGCCTTGGGCGTGAAGAAGGTGCTTTCTGCTGAACAAAAAAGGTCAGTGTCGGGACAGGGTCGAGGTCAGCACCTGCAGTGCTAGGAGACTGCTGCTACCTCCTCTGGCCTCGGGCAGGGTGACAAGTGCCACCACCCAGCAGCTCTGTGGCAGCAGCAACTGCGGGGGAGAAAGGGTTAGAGCACCTGTGGACACCCTGGCCAGCCCTCAAAGGGCCCATGTGCCACCCCAAAGGTTTAGTGGATTTATTCCACTGACAGTCAGGGGCCAGCACAGGGCCTCAGCATGGACATTTGTGTTCCGAACGGAGCTCTCAGAAACACTGGTTTGTCCATAGTGCAGTGCAACCTGGAGGGGGGTAGAGGCCTGACCAGACCAGCCAGCATGGGCTAAGCGAGTGAGAGAGCCGAGAGACATGGGCAAGGCCTTGGAGGTGGGGTACTGTGAAGATTTCTGGCTGGCTTCCTGGGAGAAAGGGGCTTGCCCGCTCAGCCTGGGTGTGTCTTCAAAGACCTTAAGGGCATATTCTCCCGGCAGTGAGAAGGTTGGGGGAGCCGGTGCACCTCAGACCGGACTGGCCTCGTGGTTCTGACCCTGTCCACTGGTCACAAGCACTCAGCTTCTCCACGGAGCCCTGCCGTTTGCCCATCCGTGCCTCTGGCTGTGGGCACTGACCTGCCAGAAGAGGATGGGGGTCTCTGTGGTGTAGGTGGGCGACAAAGACCCAAAGAGATCTGCTCTGGGCTTGCCTGTCCCTCGGGCCACTGTGAGGCCTCTGTCCAGGGCAGCCCCACCCTTCCTGCCAGCCCAGGGACAGCCTGTGCGCCCCCTCCCCTGTGTCTTCCTGGTGATAAATGGCCTCTTCCTGTTTCCAGAAAGCTGGAAGTTTACTGGGGAAACAGACTTGGGGATCCAAGCAGTGGGCCAGCGGGTAGCGTGTCCTCACCCCCATAGCCGCACAGGTCCTCCTAGCTGGTGGCACACACCTCCTCTACCCAGATGAGACCTGGGACCAGAGTTGAGGCCCACAAATGTCCCTCCCTATACCCAGATATTTGGGGCATCCTGGGGCACGTTTCTGAGCTTCTGGGCCCTGGAGCATTCTGTCTCTTCCTGTCTCTGTCTCCATCTGTCTCCGTCTCTCTCTCTCTCTCTCTCTCTCTCTCTCTCTCTCTCTCTCTCTCTCTCTCTCTCTCTCTCTCTCACACACACACACACACACACACACATATACACAGAGACCCCGCCCTGCTGCCCCCCACAGCCATCCCCGGCCAGGTCCGTTTTGCAGCTGCTTCCTCTGCACCCTCAGGATGCAGTGGTTGGTCTCGGCAGGGAGGGGGACTCCAGGGCTAGATTGGTGGCTCCAACCTTCCCTGTGTCCCTGCCATGCCCAGGACCCCACTTGGTGCCTCTCATAGCCCTGAGCCAGCTGCCCAGGGATTGCCCCTCAAGACAGGGACACCACCAGTGTAGAATCTACATCCGCTCGGGTCTGTCCCCACAGAGTCCCCCTTGTACCCCAGTGGCGCTTGCTCCAGCAGTTCCCGACAACAAACAGGCACACACAGAGCGGGCTGAGTGACCGAGCCAGGCGGCTGTGCTCAGACACCGCTTCCTCGCTGTGTGGCTGCAGGCCAGTTAACTGGCGTCTCTGTGCCTTAATGTGCTTCTCTCTCGGAGTGGGATTCTGCCGGGATTGGCGTGGGGCGTGAGCAAGTCCACAAGATCTTAGCCCCACTCCCGTGGTGGTTTCCATCTTCATTGCTCTTCTGCCCCATCCCTTCATCGTCATGGCCGTCCTCACTGCTCGGTGCTGAGGGTGGGCTGGCTGGCCATCATGGGGAGGCGGGGACCCCACCCTGCAGAGCCGCTGCGGCACTCATCTGGCCAGCAGGGTGTGCTGAGGCCGACACAGGCCAGCGCTATCCACTCAACTCATTCCCGCCCTCTTGTTCTTCCTGACGGGCCACTTTTTATTTACGTACACATTTGTGTTTGTTTTTATGCACTGCCGCCACACCTTTTATTTTTTACACCTGGTCTTTTTCCCCTTACCCAGTTGAGGGCTAATTGACAGGGGAAACCATAAGGTAATGGAACGTGCTCGGGCTGCCTGGCCAGTCAGAGCCCCCCACACCTGCGTCTGTGTTTCCCCTGAGAACAGAGTCCCACCCAGTGCGAGGTGCGGTGCCAGGTGCTTGGAATCGGTTCCTCTGTCCTCACCCCACTCCCCTGTGTGCGACACTGGTGTGCGACACTGAGTTACTTGCCCAGGGCTCATGGAAGCTTCTGGAAGCTTGAGCGGGGCCAAGCAGTCCCCTTTGAGCAGTGCCCCTGTCCTCTGCAGGCTCAGCCACAGGAACTACCTCTTGGAGTCTCCACACAAGTACAGCGTTGCTGACCTCCAGCAGGTGAGCACTGCGCCCGGCCCAGGGGTCGCAGGAGGGGGGTGAGGGGGGAGAGCACTGCCTCACAACCCCGCACCCCTCCCAGATTGCCGACGGTACCTACGAGAGCTTCCTCAAGGCCCTCATCGAGTTCGCCTCCCAGCACGTGCACCACTGTGACCTGTGCACGCAGCGCGGCTTCATCTGCCAGCTGTGCCGTGGCCTCGACATCATCTTCCCCTTCGAATTCGACAGCACAGTCAGGTCAGGCAGGGGGCTGGCCTGGGGGCACAGGGATCACCCCAGGGTGGGAAGGAGGGTCGCCCAAGAGGACAAGACTGTTCTCTGTGCCCTGAGGCTCGGGAAACTGGGATCCCTCCCAGGACCACCTACCTCTGCCTAAGAAGAGAGGTGCGGGCTCTGAGTGGGACCCCCCTACATTCTGGTGGTCAGACCCCCCAGGGGAGGGACTGAGTTACTGCCCTGCACTGTGACATCTGCCCCGGCCCCAGCCCCTGCCCCTGCCCCAGCCCCTGCACCTGCCATGCTGAGCCTCAGCCCAAACTGCACTCTAATAACTGGAACCATCCCATCTGCCTCCATTCAGCCCGGGACCAGGGATGGCCACACTGCTGGGGGCCTTTCGTCTGTTTCTTGGTTTTTCTTGGAGGGCACACCCAGCAGTGCTCAGGGGCCACTCGCAGTGCATAGCTGTGGGGTCACTTGGAGCAGCATGAGGTGCTGTGCACCAAACCTGGTCCTCACACGTGCAGGGCCAGAGCACTAACACAAAATATTGTCAGGGGCCACACCTGGCGCAGCGATCAGAAGCTGCCTCAGTGGTGCCTCCCAGACCAAGCATGCATTTCCACCCCTCCAGCTAGCTCCCTGGTTCCCAGGTAGTTTTTGTTTGATTTTTTTTTCTTTTTTTTGCGGTGGCAGGGACGGAACTTAGGGCCTGGCGGCCACCCACACACAAACTGGCAGCTCCCTGGGGCCCAGAGGGAGCTTTGCCATAGGACTCATTCCCCAGAGGGCTGGCACCAGGAGCCCTGGGTCACAGATTGAGCCTGGCCCCTGTGGGTGCTAGTTGGGGGCTCTGGCCCTTGCAGGCTGCAGCAAGGCTGTGCTCTCTCACAGGTGTGGCGAATGCAAGACCGTCTTCCACCAGAGCTGCCAGGCCACGGTGGGCAAGGATTGCCCCCGCTGTGCCCGCCGACGCAAGTACCAGGAGCAGAACTTGCTCACCTGACTCCAGATTGCCTCCTCGCCCAGGAAGGCTCAGATGCGATCAGCTCGCCCGCCGGAGGGAGCCTCAGGAGTCCTCGATGAGGCCTCTGCTCCCCACCTTCCTCCGGGAGGTCATGGGGTCTTTGCACTAACAGGTCCTGAGGCCCTCATGGGGCTTTTGGGACCCCAGAAACAGACTCCGGGCTTTTGCAATTCCACATTCCTGATTAAAAGGGTCTAGTTTTTTAAGGTGGGGTTTTTTTTCCCTTCATATTTCAACAGAAGATTATTTTTTTATTCTTGACCCAACACAAGTCATCCAAGAAATCCAGGCATTCTTGCCCCAAGCAAACCTGAGGGACAGCTCAGCCTGGACTGGGGGCCAGGGGACCCTGGGCCTGCACCTCAGCTGCCCTGTGCCTTTGCCTTTGCTGCTCCAGTTGATGTGCCAAGCACTTTGGGCACCTCCTATCCCCCACCCCTCACACAGAGCCCCCTGCTCTGGGGCCTGGGCCGCGGCCCCCTGGGGGAGGCACCCTTGCACTATCGGCACTTTGATCCTGCCTTGTCCTGGGAAGGGCCCCCACCCAGGCCCCAGCCCCCTGGCCCTGTGCAAGGCAGTAAGCCCAGACAGTCCCCCAACTAGAGTGGTGACACCCCCACCCCCAGCTCCCACAGAGATGGCAGGAACAGGGCTGCACACACACTGCCCCAGTGTGCAAAGCCACAAGTGCTCAGAGCCACCCCCACTGTCCCCACAGGGTTGCTGAGGGCACCACTGCCTCCTCACTGGGTCCCAGAGCTGGAAAGAGCTGCCGAGCCCTGGGGTGGGTGTGATTTGCTCTGCTGCCTCCCACCCCCTCTCTGGACCTCTCAGCCAGGGGTCTTCTGGCATACTTCATCCTCTCCCTTGGGTTGGGGGGTGGCAGACCTCTGAGTCCTCTTGGACTGAAGAACCTGCTCTTCCTTGCCTCAGGGTGACGGGGTTGCTGAGTCACCTGCCCAGCCCTGTGCAGTTGGGGACATTGTGCAATAGAAAGAGAAGGTAGGCAGCCCAGGGAGAGGGTGCCAGGCAGTCTTCGGCCCCATTATGGAAGAGGGTGCACCCCTGGGTGCACCCACAGCTGCTCAGCTGAAAGGGGGATCCTTATGGCCCTCCGCCCGTGTCCCCTAGAGCCAGCATTAATGCTCCACCACAGATCCCACGGAATCTCTGCAGAATCACCCGCATCTTTGAGCGGGCAGGAGCCGGGCCTGAGGCCAGTGCCCCCTGGGCCTGGCCATGTCCTGGCTTGTAAGTACCTTCTTATTCCTGAAGGTTCTCTCAGAGGCAGCAGGAGTGAGGCCCGAGGGGAGCTCACTTCTGTAGGGGTGGGGTCCCACCTTCCTAGTGACCCCCCTTCCCAGAAGAGCCACTGTAAGCTTGGGAACCTCCATTATACCCACCCTTATTTTAAGTGTCATTTTATGCAATAACTGGTTTCCAGTGGGGAGCCCCTACCCTGAGAAGTGCTTGGCAAGAGCCTAGGAAGGGCTGCTGCTCTGTGACGGTCTCCCAGTAAAACCTGCTCTTTCAATCTTGTCTCATGTCTGAATCACTTTGAATGCCGCCACTGATCAGGGGAGACCTCAAGCCACTCATTCCACTGGCACTCCCTCCCCCATGAGTCAGCCCCCAGCACTGCCCTGGGGAAGACCAGGGCAGCCCAGTGGGTAGGGTGTTGGGGGGGAGGGGTTTGGAGGGCTGTGCACAGACAACAGCTGGAGGGTGCGGGCAGCCAGGTCATCCACGGAGAGAGGTCTGGAGGCAACTCAGCAGGGAGGGTCACAGAGGGGGCTGGAAGCAGGAAGTGGGGTTTCAGGACACAAAGTGGCCTCTAAGCTACTGGCCTTGCTAAGTTTCGGGTGGAGCCCTGGGCACCTCACTGAGAGGCAACGTCACTGCCCACTGGTAGGACAGAGGAAGATGACCAGTTCCAGGGTCTGCCCTTCTCCAGAGGGGCTGCTAGGTGAGCCCATGGGCTGAGCTGCTCACAAGGCCTCACCTGCAGGAGCGCTAGGAGGGGTAGGAGGTGTCAGGCAGCCCCCTTTGAGATGGGGACTAGGAACTGCCCTGCCTTGTTCTGAGCCCCGAGCCCAGCCCTCCAGGGAGCTAGTTACCCTCCCCAGCAGCCTACAGGGCAGAGGTTTGGATTCTGCGGCAACATCAGAGAACACAGTGCGGACTTGGGTGGAAAGCGGCAGGAATGCTGAGCTCGCTGCTTCCTTCCAGCCTGTCCCCAGTTCACAGCGGAGATTCAAGGCTGGCCTGCGGGCAGGCGGGAGGTAGTCCGCTCCGCTGGCCAGGACCGGGATGCAGAAATCCGCTTTAAAGTGAGGCGGAGGCTCCTGCCCCCTCATCCCACTCTCCTGGCCCGGTGCCTCCACCCCCAACCTCCGGAAGACTGTCAGGTGTGGCCTAAGAGCCCGGGAGGTGCAGGGGGAGGGGGTGGCGTCTCCGTTCCTGGGGCGCTGGCCCGGCCCAGAGGGGACAGGAAGCCAGGACACCGGGGATTGTCTCCTCGCCGCAGCCCAGCCCCAGCCGGGAGGAAGTTCTGCCGAGCGCTCTCCGCCCGAGCCTCCCTCGCTATATTGTTGAACAGGAAACACGGCAGCTCGGGAGCCGAGCGCCGGACGCCGAGCCCCAGCGCGCCTGACCCGGAGAGTGGACGCGAGGCCGGCGAGCCTGCCCCGAGGTGCCGCGGGACCCTGCGGGAGCGGGCGGGAGGTGGGTCCGCCACCGTGAGTCCCCGCGTGTCCACTCCCTTAAGCGGGGCGCTGCGGCTGGTGCTCTGGCCCCGGGGCTGGGGGCGCGCGGGACGGATCCCGCAGGGAGGACAGGGGTGTGGGGGCAGGAGGGGCCTGGCGTAGCGCACCCAGAATTGGCACCGCTGTGGCTCACGTCCTCAGCAGCAGGCACAGGGCACCTCCTGGCGACCATCCTGTCCTCGCCTGTGCCCGGCCGTCCTTCCCGCTACCGCCCCCCCACCTCCGCCATGCTCCCCATTCTCGCCCCCCCGGATGGCGGAAGGAGCCAAGGCCGTGTCCCCTCCCTGCCCTGCCCGCTCCGTTGCACTTGCGGCAGCGGACACCCCGCTCCGGGCCTGGAGAGGGCGGAGATAGCCGGGCGCGCGGCAACGCCGCAGTCAGCCCGCTGGAAGGACAGTCAGCCGGGGACGCGGGGTGCAGACGGTCTCGCTCCGAGGGAGAACGCGGGCGAGACCTTGAACTAGACCCTGCATCCTGTGGTCGCAGAGCAGGGGCGGGGAGAGAACCCCTATACGACCCCTCCCCGTGACCCACCGCGCGCTCACTGCCCCGTCCGCGCATCCCCGCTGAGCGCCCTCTTGCTCCCCTTGACAGCTCCGACTCCCCGAGATTCCGCGGCCCGTGGAAACCCCGCCCAGGGCGATGGCTGGGGCCTGAGCTGCCCGCGCCGCCGGCTCCGCCCATTCAGCCCATGGGCTCCCTGAAGCCCCCCTGCCGACGTGAGTGATCGCGGGCCCGGGGACAGCGGCGAGAGGGGTCCGCTCTGAGGTCCATGGGTTCAGTCCGGGGCAACTCGCCGGTCCCGCCTCCTCCAGAAGCCAGTGTGCTCCGTGACTCAGTTTACCCCCTACCCCTGGCGGAAAGCAGAGAAGCGCTACGCTCCCCCTGCCTGACCCTGCTCCCAGCGCATCTGGGGCCACCCCTGAGAGCAGGAGGTGTGTCCAGTAGGAACCTGGAGGGGCCAGTCACTTCGGAGGAGGGCTTGGATATCGGGGTTCTCTGGCTCCCAGTCCAGTGCCCCAAGAGCCACGCTGGGCTGCTCCCTGGAGTGGGATGCGGTGATCATTCCAGTAGCACCTGGGCAGTGGCTGTCACAAAGCTCACTGTCTGGGCAGTGCAGGTCCAGGGCGGGGACAAACGGAGGCCAGACCCTCCCAGGGGAAGGTAGGGGCGGGCGGTGTAGCCGGTCTGGGCGGGCCTCAGGGGTTCACCATGGAGGCGAGGCTGCTGGGGAAGGAAAGAGAAACCGAGAGAACCGGTTCCGCGGCCTCTGCGTCCCTCCTGCCAAAGCCCTTGGCCTGAACCGGGCGGGAACACTCCCAGTGGAGAGAAGCCCGTATACCCACCCTGGTATGGCGCCCCAGACACCTGCAGAGGTGGCCTAGCGGACACTCATTCCCGGAGGACTGAAGGCTGGGGGTGGGAAGGAAAGGAAGGTCATTCCCACTTGACAGAACAAAAGTGAGGTGCACTCCAGTGACAGGTCAATACGGTGCCCACATTATGGGAGCACCGCCCCTTCTCTGAACCAAGGCTCCCCAGGCTGGAAATCAGAGCTGAGTGACTTGCAATCCCCCCACCCCAGAACTGAAGTCCGGGATGAAAGGGGCTTCCTAACTCCCCCTGCAAGCACCGCAGTTGCCAGGTCCAGGAGCTTTATCCAAGTGCCCCATTTTCTTTCTTTTTTTCTTTTTTTTTTGGTTTGTTTCTGGACCACATTGGGTGGCACTAGGGGACAGCGTGGGGGCCACGGGTGCTACTCCCAGCGAGATGCTGGAGGTGAGGGTGGGGGGACGCTCCTGGTGGAGCCCAGGGGAACAAGCAGCGCCCGGGATCAAACCCGGTGTCCCTGCGTGCAAAGCATGCGCCCCAGCCGCATAGCTCCCCACTTTAGAGCGCGAGGGGAGAGGGAGGTGAAGCCGGGACGCCCAGGATGCCAGGATGCGTGCAGCAGAGACCCCCCCCCCCCGCCCCAACCCACCTCTTCCTTCCACCCCCCCCCCGCGTGGGCTGATCTCGGCGCCCCTTCTGTTGTCCAGAGACACGTCGCGGCCGCGATGGCAGCCGACGTCGAGGGGGACGTGTACGTGCTGGTGGAGCACCCGTTCGAGTACACGGGCAAGGATGGGCGCCGGGTGGCCATCCAGCCCAACGAGCGCTACCGCCTGCTGCGCCGCAGCACCGAGCACTGGTGGCACGTGCGGCGCGAACCGGGCGGCCGCCCCTTCTACCTGCCCGCGCGGTATGTGCGCGAGCTGCCCGCGCTCGGCGACCCCGCGCCCACCCCGCTGCCCGCAGTGCCCCACCCGAGCCCCGCGGTCCCCGAGCCGCTCGCCTACGACTACCGCTTCGTGAGCGCGCCGGCCGAGCCCCGGGGCCGAGCGGGCTCCCTGTGCGTCCCGTCGCGGCTCCAGCGCGGCAGCCTGGCGCCCGGCCTGCCCGCCTGCCTGTACACGCGGCCCGCAGCGCCTGTGCGGCCCGCGCAGTCCCTGGACGACCTGGCGCGCGCGGGCGCCGCGCCCCCCGCCGGCCTGCTCGGGAGCACCGGCAGCTTCAAAGCCTGCAGCGTGGCGGGCTCCTGGGTGTGCCCGCGGCCGCTGGCGCGCAGCGACTCGGAAAACGTCTACGAGGCCATCCAGGATGTGTGCGAGCCGCCGCCGGACGAGCGCGCCAAGCAGGTACGTCCGCGCGCGCTCGGAGGTGGGGCGCGGGGAGACCCGCTCGGCTCCCCGCGGGGTCGCGGGGCGGGACTGGCGCTGGACAGGCGCCTTCACACACCCAGCCTCGCCCTCTCACCCTCCGCGCATCGCGGGCGCACGAGTAATCTGCGCGCTGCCGCAACGCCAGCGCCCCCCGGAGCCCAGTGCTGGCAATCTTCTATGGACCCGACGCCGGGTCGTCGACCGGGCTCGTTGCTCTCTCTCGGAGGAACTGTTCTGCTGCAGAAATGCAAACTGGCTTGAGCACGCGGCGCCGGCCGCAGCCCTGCGGCACCCTGGGACCCCTCGAACGCGTGCGCGCGCCGCCTTTGCTCGCGAATCCCAACTATCCGCCGCGCGTTGCTGCGAAATAGGAGCGCGGACGCGCCCCCGACGGCTGCTTCGCCTTTCTCACGGGCGCCGCGGGGCCCTCAGGAATGTGGAAGTCCGAGCCATTTCCCTTTTGTCTTGCTCCCAACCTTTCGGTTCCTTTTTTTCTTTCCTTTTCTCTCTTTCCTTTTTTATCTTAAATGGTTTTTTGTTTCAGAAAAAAAGTCCAGTTACAGCGAGGGTCCCCCTCCCCCCGCCCGCCTTTAGAACCTAGTGATGTTAATTTGTGAAACTGGGAATAGAGCGTGTTTTAAAAATACTTGCATCCTCGGAATACTGCAGGCACCCCTGGCATTGAGAAGTTCGGAGCTTTTCTTTCTTTTACCGAGAGTATTCGATATGCCAGACACAGTAACAACAAAGTCTCCAATGGAGACGTTACTGGGCCCGCTTGAGCAAATCGACGATCAACGGGAGGGCCTTTACCTTTTTACCTTTACTCTTTTCTTTTGGTTTTTGGGGCTTCACCCGGCTGTAATCGGGGGTTACTCCTGGCTCTGCACTCAGGAATCACTCCTGGCGGGCTGGGGGACCATATGGGATCCAACCCTGTAGTGGGCCGCGTGCAAGGCTGTGCTGTCTGTCGGACCCCAGTTCGGGCCTTTTCTGGCAGAACTCTGTGTGCTGGAACCTGGGTCTGGCATCAAAGAAGCCCGGCCGACGCCTGCAGTCAGCCCTGTGACCCCTGGTGATTACTCTCGGGGTCTGCCTGTCTCGGGTCTCCAGTTAGCCTTTAGGGGAGTGTTGTGCGGGACCTCTGAAGCCTGTGAGGTCTGCTGCCCTCCGCTCGTGCCCTTCCTAATCACGGTCAGTGACTTGCGAGTTCAGGGGTACGTCCACGCCGCCGGGTCCAGGTCTGCCCACGGAACTGAGGTTCCATAATCTCCACTCCGGTGTCAGCTGTTGCACCCCACGCCTCTGTCCAAGATCTCCCGTAAAACGCAGACTAAGCCTACGGACTAGGGAGTTGCGGCCGTGGACAGGTGAGGGTGGCGCGGGACTCCTCCGCGGCCCGCAAGGTGCCCGCGGGCCTTTTTTTTTCCACCTCTGGGTCTGCGAGGCACCCGGGTTTCTGCGGGGGGCAGCTCGCCCCCTGGTGGCCAGGATGAAGAACACACCCGGAACGGGTGGGGACCAGGACCCAGGTTTGGGGATCTGTGCCTGGCGCCCCTCTTTTCCTGGCCAGGCTCCTGGGATGCAGCGTCCTCTGCCAGAAGGTGCGGGGGGGGGGAACATCTTGGGTGGAGGGAAACTCGGGCAGTGGGTGACAGAAATGTGAGCTAAAGCCAGGGGATGTGTCGGTCCATGGAGCAGTGGACAAGCAAAAAAGGAGGTGGTGGCAGGGCAGGAAACAGTCTGGAAGAGAGAGGCCCCCGGCCCCCCCGCCCCGCCAGCCGCCTGCGTGGGAGGTGCTCGCGAGTAACTCCTAGCTCTGGGCCCTGGGGCCGCTCCAGGCACCCGAAAACCATGCGGTGCCGTGAATGGAACTAGAGCTCCTATGAGCAGAACTGGGTGATGCCGCCGTCCTCTGGCACTTGGTGGCTGGTGCTCTCCAGGCCCGGTGGAAGGGGGGATTGGGGGTGGGGGGTTGGTCCGCAGGGCCCTGAGGCACCTGACCTGCCTTGCCCGCGCCGGGTCCTGCAGTTGCTTCTGAGCATGCCCCTTTGCAGCCGCGACCCAGCGTACCTCCCAGCAGCAGGCGTGGGTGGGTGCTAACCGGGGGCCCAGGGGGCTTTTCGGGCCACCCAAAGGTCACGCAGCCAGGAGATGGCAGTGACCAGGTGGCGTCTCCAGGCTACCATGTTCCAGTTCCGGCGGCCAGCGGGGCTGGGCCTCTGGAGGGCGGGGCGTGACCCGGCTCTCACACCCCCTTCCTAGGACCGGGCCTCTCACACTCCTGGCAGGCGGATCCACCCCCCTGGCTGGGCTCTCAGGGGATTCCAGGGTGCGGTCACCAGTCACCGCCCACCCCAGGGCCTGGAAGGGAGGTGGGACAGACGGGATAACTCTGCACTGGCCCCGCCTCCGCGGGACTTTGGCCAGGGGAGGAGCCCCCTGGCAGTCTGGTATGTGGGCACCTGCGTGCCCGCCACTCATCTGGACAGGGCTGGACAGGACCCGGCAGGACATCCCCCCTGCAGCTGTGAGTGCCCCTTGGCCTGGAAGGCTGGGACTGGAGGGAAGGCCCAGGCCCTGTCCCCCTCATTCCCTTCACCTCACTTCCCCTTCCCCACCTGTGGTCACCTCTTACCTCCCACCCCTACTTCTTGGGACAAACTCCAAGGGCAGCCCAGCGACTGGCATGACCAGGAGAGAGGCAGAGCCCCAACCCCCACCAGGGCCCATGGAACCTTATGGAAAGGGAGCTGGTGGGAGCAGGAAACTAGTGCCCTGAGGCAGGCTGGGGGTGCCTCAACCCAGCACCGACCTTGCCCTCAGGACTCACCCAGCCCTGCCATCCCTCTGGCCTGATGTGGGAAGCAGCAGGTTGCTGGGTCCCTCCTTACGCCACCCCCTGGGAGCAGGGAGGCTCCCCTCCCTCCGTCTCTGGCTCCCTCCACCCAGGGCCTCCCCACTTCCGTCCAGAGCCTGGCTCTAGACCTGTTTTCTCTGCCTTCCTGGGTCTGCGCTGCTTGTCTTGTGGATCAGAGTGAAAGTTGGAGGGAGGAGGGTGGGGCGAGCTGTGGTGGTTCGCTCAGGGCAGGTCCTAGGGGTGAGAGGAGGGGCAGCCTGGGATCAGAACTGGGTGTGGGCTCCAGGTTGGAGAGTGGGGGCACCTGGGAGCTGGGAGTGAAAGCACCAGCACCGCTGGGGGCCCCAACTAGGGGCTCTGGGCTCAGGGTTCTTGCGAAAATTCCAGAGCCTTTCCAGATTGAGTAAGGGTCCTCACACCGGTGCCTCTGGCTATCCTCCTTCATCCCGTGGGTCTGCAGCTGAGATCCCAGAGGTCCGTGTTTGGGTCTCCGAGTCACCCCAGCACCCGGCTGACTTGGACCCCCCAGAGAGGAAGCCGAGGGAAGGTGAGGGCTTTGTGGGGGAGGGCCTGGCTCAGCTTTGCACAGCACCACACCAGCCCTGCTTTGCAAGCTGCTTCCGACCAACCCCATTTAGACAATGGGGAAGGGGTGGGTGCTGCAGCAGAGAGTTTGTCTTGCCAGCTGGAGGCTCTTGGGTCTGACCCTGGGAGGTTCCCATCCGAGGACTGAGTGTTTGGGTCCCTTCGGCAGTGCTGGTCCCGGAAGTCTATACCTTTCAGGCCCTGCCCACAGGAACCGCCAGGCCCTCTGCAGCCCTGTCGGCCAGGAGAGGCTGGCAAGCTGACCCATGGGTTTCTGGGTTTCTGCAGGTGGCTGTGGTGGGCATGTGGAGGAGCCCCCCAGGAGGAGAGGGAAGTCCAGGAGAAGGCAGGTTCCAGGTGAGCCTCTGGGGCATCCCGAGACTTTCTTTTCTCATCCACATCACTTTTTTAGGTTTCAGCTCATTATTGGGTTAATCTGGTGCCTGTTTCATATCTTACTTAGAAAAGCTTTTTTTTTCTTCCGCAAGTGGCAAAATATCCACTTTCCCATGTTATTTTGGTTTTCTTTGTGGTCAGGGAAATGGTTTTCCCGTTCTCAGCCCGCAGAGATCTGTGTGTGCTATTTACGGGGGTCCGTCCAGTTTCCTGATCCCGCGGCTCACGCTTCCTTTGTAACTTCTCCTCCTTCCGGCTCCTGCTCTGATTCTGCCAGTGGTTTACTAAATCTCCCACTCAGAGTTTCCCTTTTAAGCTCTGCTGGTCGGGCGAGGGCCTCTGTGTTCTCTGTCGAGGGCAGCGTGGGGTGGGGTGAAGGGGTCAGATCAGGGCTGCCCTCTCAGAAGGTGGTGAAATGAGTGTCATTACATGGCCTCCTAATACTGGCTCTTTCTCCCCCCCAGTCCTTTGCTTTTATGTAGTTACTCACTTGGTTGCATTTTTGCTGGACATGGACTCAGGGGCATGCTCTGCCACAGGCCCACATGCTGGCCTTGGTTTTGTGCTTTTTTTCTTTTGAGGGGAGGGGTCCCCTGTGGGGGGGGGGCGGGGAGCACCGGGCCCCATGTGGTGCTGGACTCTCAGCCGGGGCTCCTGTGTGCAAGGCAGGTGTTTCAGCCCTTTGAGCCCATCCCCGGCCCCCCTGTTCAGTGCTTCTCAAGCCTTTCTAGGACGACAGCGCCTCTTTCTCTTTCCTTGCCTCTCTCTCTCTCTCTCTCTCTTTCTCTCTCTCTCTCTCTCTCTCATTTCCAGCCATTGTGACTTCTGGAAAAGTATAGATGAAATTGGGTCCGGAGTGGCAATAGTACAGCGGGAGGGCAATTGCCTTGTACGTGACTGAACCAGTTCAATCCCTGGCATCCCATAGGATCCCCTAAGCACCACCAGGAGTGATTCCTGTATGCAGAGCCAGGACTAATCCCTGAGCACCACCGGGTGTGACCTCAAACTAAAAGCAAACAGAAAGCATATACAACATCATGTTTTGAAACTTGAGTGGGTTCCATTTGTGTCTCCCACACACTGTGCTCTCTGCCCGCTCTGTGACTCAGCTCACCTGGAACTGAGGGGTTTG